GTACATATTTACATCTGACTTACATCTACAAATGCGATTTCACGACTCATAATTATGTCTTCTGTCAAAACTGTAAACTGAGATATCGAGCTTTGTTATCCGATTTGTCAATATGAGATCTGCAAACATGTGTTGCCCAGTAAAAAAAATCACTTTATATAGATGGCTATTTACTTTGAGGATCAAACAACAAGGTGCAACTGGGTGTCTGTGTTCCAGTAAAGATGAGTTAACTTGGTTGTGAAGGTCAAAGATTTCACAAATTAAACTACATTTTTCAAACCTCTGGAATAAATAGCACTGGTTTAGAAAAGAAACGAGCCATCTACAAATTTAAAACCACCCAAATGTGTCGTTAACTAAACAGCCATCAAGGTTACTTCATATTCTGTTCGGAATGTAAACAACAAACATCTGATACTCGATTTCTCCAGAATCTTTAACATATTTCACCCTGTAGCAGAGGTAACTGAAGGTCATACTGAGAAAAAGTGAAGTAAATTTGAGTCACCAGAAGAGTTTTAATGCTCGCTGGATCTGGACTATCTGGAACTGGTCTAATGGGAAGCACACCAAACAGTCTCCCAGAGGATGTTCCCTCTTTTGGGGATAAAATCAGAGAGCTGCCTGAAATACTTACACCATATTAAACACTGAATACACATATTTATGTGCCATGTGTTTAAGGCATGATCAAATTTATAAAAACAAACAATCAATGTACTCCATTTCTGACACGGGTACCTAGCTTACAATATGGAAGAGGAAATATGTGGAAAAGTTCAAGGGGCCCGAATACTTTTGCAAGCCACTATATTTGCTTCTGTATTTATAACTGTGTTTCAGTGGGCAGCGTGTGTTTCAGTGGTAAGGACTAACGCCTGGGAGGTTCTTCTGTGTGCAGACAGTGTTCTCTCCCTGTGCTTGTGTGGGTTTTCTCCAGGAACTTGGGCTTTTCCCACCATCAAAAAAACCCAAAACACATTCGTTTGGTTCTGCCTGCGTCACAAAGGTCGTTCCTTCATTTCTTTTCCTTGTTTGTTAAAAAAAGAGGCTTTTTCTCATTTTACAGCTGTTTTTTTGCGTTTCTGCACATTACCCTTTGAAGATATATAAAACTTTAGTCCTGGGTACCTGGTGAGGAAGCTTTACCTAAAAGGATGACTCAATGGATGGATCTAAATCTAATCTGTGCTTCACTGGTGACACGAAGCAAGTGTAAGTGAGGGAGGGTGCAGTCTGAGGAGAAACTCACCTACAGCACAGTGCAGTATCTGTAAAAGAGAAAAATGATCATAGAAAATGACTCAGTCTGTTTCTGGAATAAAGTACACAGACACATTTTTAACTCTAGCTACTGCTGGTCCAGTTTATACGCGGAAGAACTCAAAGATTTCCTATAAAAAATGTTCCAAATACCTACCCCGTTAATACATTATATATTCTATCAAAACAAAATGCTGAGAGTCACTGAACCAAGTCAAAAATCATTGGTCCTATTTTTGATCGCCTAACTAAGCTGAGGTCGGTCAGTGCATGTGTCATTTGATGAATGGAATATATTGACTTGAAGTATACAGTGCATATGGACAGCATCACTGCAACACCTCTAACACTCACTACACACATCTGGGTCAGTATGTGTGTTAGCACGACTACTCTAAACACATGTAAGGCTAAAAGAATGTCTACATACATTAGAAAATGATATTCATTTGTAGTTTGCACCAAACTATAATTTTAGGATTTTAAAATACTTAAAGTAGAAACTAAAATCCTTAAGTCATTAACTGTGTGGCTTCAACATGGTACGGAGAGGCATGTTAAGTTATCAGTTATCAGGGCATACCAAACTCTGAAGAGAATCACAGACACTGTTAGACACTGTCCATTATTAGTTTGCCCTATATGTGTCAAAAGGCTAATGCTTCTCATTACTAGTCTCTACATACAAAACTGATAGTGTGTGCTGATATGAGCAATAGTAGTGACCTCTGAAATAACACCACATATTCAACA